TTAAAATTCTTATTTCACTAGATGTCTTGATTCAAAACCATTGAATTCAATGGGAGGTTTTCTGTAGTCTTTGAATCATACTGAGGAGATGGTAAGCTTACTCATGCACAATTTTATGAACAGGCAGGTATTACAGACAGCATTTTGAAACAGCAGTGAGACAATGTTTATTTTTAATGTTCAGTGTTAAGGTATAAACGAACTGAAAAGTTTAACACTGTTTACATAGCAGGTATTCCTCTCATGGAGATATTTTTAGTGGATTATTTCACTTGTCCAAGTTTATTGACTTTTGTCAGATTTTTCATCTGAACTTCCTTGTCTAAAATGTTCTATATATTTTAGTTTTAATTTGCAAAGGAAATTTTGGTATGGGCCTCTTAAGTGTCTTCAGAAATGTTTGATTTAATATTAGTCCCTACTAAATACAAAAACAGACTAGATTTTATCTTTTATCTGAAAAGCAAATGGAGACTTAATCTTGCAAACACCTAAGTGTGTTTACTTTTAAAGTTGTGAGAATTTCTGTTGGTTTTCTAGTGCTTCACAGGAGCTTTAGAAGAAATAATCCTGAAGATCATTTGCAGAAATAGAGACTTTCTGAACCCTGTGCATTTTTAGCTGTATGAAGGGCCCTGCCACAACAAGAGGAATCCTTTTGAAACCTAGGCAAATGACTAAAGAGTGTCAGAGTGGAAGCAGAGGGGAAAAACTATGCACTTCTTTTTCTCTTCTGTTTTCTGTGTTCTTCCTCCTTTGTCAGAGGTTGAGTGTACAAAAGAAGCTGGATCTAGATGTCAGTGGAATGAGAACCGTTTGCCTTCCTGCTTTATGAAAAAGGGTTACATCTGGGACACTCAATTCAAAGCTGTTTTAACTGATTTAAATGTTCTTAGCATGTTGCTTTGCATGATGGCTGCCTTGGATAAAAGGTCAGTCTAACCCAGTATCTGTTCTCCAACAGAGGGCAACATCAGACCTCTAGTAAAGACCTCTGATCTAGTATTGGCTTCTGGTTCTTGAAGGTCCAGGCTAAGGTCCAGTCCAGGATACTGGTGTTATATAGGCACTTAATAGTAGCATTTAATCCTTCTTCTGTATGTTTTGGAAATCATATCAGAACTTTTGAACAGCTGTTGCTTTTGTAGGAATAAAATGTACCTTAAGTAAAAGGCTGCTCTGATGAGAATGTTTTAGTACCTAAAGAGTTGCCACTAACTTCATGGCTTTTTTTTTTTTTTTTAATGCTTTGAAGTATAGCAAGTTGCCAATACTCATTTTCAGCAGCATGCACAAAGTCCTTTTATTCCTTGGTGTGCAGCCTGTAGATCTTCTCTTTCCTTCTCAACCAAGCTCTTGACAGCTATAGACTTCACCTCGATTTCATAGTCAATCACTGTATGCAGTTTCCAGTATTGAACAAGGGAAAGGAAGCCTTTCCTGGTCTTGTGAAGTGAGGCTGAACATGAATGGGGCTTCATGATGTGACTGAAGCTTCACAGGAGAATGCAAAGCCATTGGGCTGCCAAATTTTACTAGCATTTGCTGAGGGGGAGTTTCGTTGTTAATGACACTGGGCAGCAGATGGTCTTAGAAGAGTTGTTAAGACACTGTGGATCGTACTGTAAATATGTGGGTGAATAGAACTGGGATGCTGACAGTTCACTCTCTCAGCTCATCATAAGAAGGTGACTCGAGTGGAATTCAGTAGTGCCAGAACTTAGATTTCTTGGTATTTGGCAGTCTGCTGTATAGCTGGAAAGAATTTTGCAACATAACAGTGGAATAGTAGTCAGGATGCGCTTAGCTGTGTAAAGTTCAGAACAGAGAACGTTATATGCCTGGTTAATCTTGTTTGACCACTACCCATCTTTAGACCTGAAGGTACTGAGCCTGTGCAGCTCAGCTACAAGACCACTACAGAAGTTAATTTCAGTCTTCTGTTTTTCTTTTGAATCCAAGAGAGAATTCTTTGTATTACAGATGAATCTGAATTGTTGAACCAGAAGATAAGCTGTTACAGGAGAAAGTCCTCACCCTGTCCACACCTTAAAACCTGCTCTTCTGCTTTTCCCTTCTCACAACGTATCTCCAGCCCTTCCATCCAAACCAAAACCCACAATTATGGATGGGGGCTTTTTATTTTGATTTAGCAGGGTGAGACTCAAAGTATTTCATCCAAATTCCTTGCTAAATTTTTAGCCTTTTTTCTCATTTCATCTAAAACCCATGCAGCTTTTAGTATGGCTTGAAGAACATAATGATAATTGTTATGTACGAATTAAGCATCTTAAGTGTGACAGCTATATCAGAAACTTAGTGGACAGTGTTCAAGGACACAGCCCCTGTTGTTCACTGAGGACACTTACAACTGCCCTGACAAAAGAAAACAAAATTAAAAACCTCTACTGAATTAGCCAGTGGAAGTTTAGTTTTTGCCTGTGTCTGCAAGTGGGATGAACAGATAGAACTTCAGATTTTTCAACTGTGTAGTAACCCACTGAAACCAGGATTCTCTTTGATGCTGTGATCTTTAGTGCAAATGTAATCTTCTTGAGTGTTCATCTTCTTCCTTGAAATGATTCTTCTTTTCTCCACAGCCTCCTAGCTTAAGTCAAAGTGAGATAAAAGGTTAAGAATTCATTTATTCTTAAAGTAGGAAACAAGCTTGTTGGACAGGTATTTGAAAGGGCACATCCGCTAAATCAGTGTCATTAATTCAAGGTAGCTCAGTAACTGGATCCAGCTTTTTGCTTTGTCTCTGTCAGGCTGCTTGCAGGGGACTTGTCCCTATCTTGTGGTCTGTTCACAGATGCAGAACAGCTCTGCTGTTACGCTGTGATACAAGAGTTAGTTAGGTAACTAAATCCACTGTGAATAGGACTGACTAAATTTAAGGTGCCCATTAACTAACGCTGATTCAGCCAAAATACACAGAAGGTATTGTTGGCTTTCCTTGCATGAGGGTAGCACTAACAAACTGTCTCTGTGGTCTGACAGTTTCTGTAGTCCAGCCTCACAGCAAGATGAAAAAACTGCAGAGGCTTCTTGTCTTTATAGTGATAGTGTTGTTCTTGCTGTAAGATGTACTTTTTTTAGTTGGCTTTGAGTAATTTCAACACCTTGGATAACAGCTTCTTAATTTAACAACTTGCAATGGTGCTCAACTGAAAATATGGAATTGACACACAGACAGCCAAACTGACTGTAGGTTTGGTAAGTCTGGCCTCCTGGATTTCAGGCTCTTGTTCAGAGTTCCCACAACAGAGCTCTACATTACTTTTAGCATAACTTGTGCTGTTAAGTTACACTGTTTGGGTTTTTTTTTCTAGGAGGGCTTTATCTTTTACACTGTCAAAAAAGCCAAAGCCTTCATACCAGATTTTTATTAGTTGTATCAACAGTGTAACTTCAGGAGAATTGTATTTGGTGTCCGTCTGTACTGTTTAGGCTTTGACTAAACTAAACCCTCTATTTGTTAGTACTTCTGATTCCCAGTCTTGCATAAACATAGTATCTGACTGAGAACAGAGACATGGTTTGCCAGTCCATTGCATCTCATCAAATTATAAAGTCTGATTTCTGAAAACATTTTAATAAGGGCAGTTACTGTTCTAGTGAAATATTGAAGCTGGAAATAGCTGAATTATGTCAATTAAAATCCTCAGTTAACTTCTGTTAGGGAATAATTTAAAACAACAATACTAGTAGTGCATTACCTGTTATTTTCTGAAGGCACATGATTCTTGCTATCGTTGAGTGACAGATACACATGGACCAGTTGGAAAATGCCACAAAGGGAGGGCTTTTAAATGTTCAGATTTGCCTTAATGACTTTATAAAAAAAAAAGCTGCTAAAAAAATCTCCTGCAATGAATATGACCCTTAATAGTAATATTTATGTAGTGTAATTGGAGTGTTTGTTAGGGATTCCGTTACTGTGCACAGTGTAATTAGACTTATAATCTAGTAAATGTGACATACTATAATGTTCTGCTTTGTAAACATTGACTCCATTTTAAGACTGAGATTGTCTCATGCCAAGAAATAAAAGAAAATCATGGCCTCATAAAATCTTCTCATTATTTAGATGTGCACTCTATGGGTTCCCAGTGCAGTCAAAGTTGAAACTGAGCCAGAGTGAACATTGAACACAGGTGCAAGCTTCAGTGCAAGTGATTTGCCAGCCTCCTTTTATGTAAACCTCATCTGTCTTCTTAAATCTCACAAAGTTTTAAGGGGGAGAAGATGCAGGTCTGCATAGTTTTTTAACCTTATTTGCACAGGCATATTCATATTGCCTTCTGCCTTACTTTTCATGTTTCTAAATAATAACCAGATTTTGATTTGTTGGAAATCAAAAGTAGCCACGTATGTGCATTGATCAGTTATTTACTCATGGGCGGTAACTGAAAATGGGATTGGAAAATAATTCATCTTTTAGTGCTAAACTTAATTTTGCTGTATTATGTAAATGGACAAGAACTCAGATACTGGATGGCTTAAGCAGTAAGTAGAATGAGGTGTTGCTAAAATCTTTTATTTCACGTTTGCTGTTTAAGACCTTTAATAAAACTGTTGTCTTGGTGTAATTACATAATTTGTTTTTTTTTCAGCTTAATGAAATGATCCAAAACTCTTAGGCTCTGCTCTTTTGAGACCTGTGTGTACTATATGAACTTGGAGGATAGCCTGCTTCTCTTTATTAGTCTATGACAGTATTTATGAGTTGTCCTTGCCTCTCACTGAAATGGTCTGTGTTAGTCAAAATATCTTACAGTACTGGCAGTAATTTTCTGAAGAGCACAAAGTGACTGCTCTCAGCAATGAGAATGGATTCCAGATAGGAGGCTTTTTTGATACAAACTTTGCTTTTATTGCAGTAGCTGTTAGATGCAGTTTCTAATGTCAGCCACTGTACATACAGAGAAAAGGATAGGCGCTAGTGGTGTCTAAAGTCTGTTGAGGTAGCTTGTCTCATTGTGAAATCTTTCCCACAGCTGTGCCAGCAAACATTGCAGACCTGAGAAACATAGAAGTGCTCAACTTTTTCAACAACCAGATTGAGGAGCTGCCTACACAGATTAGCAGCCTTCAGAAGCTTAAACACCTTAATCTTGGGTGAGTATCGTAATGCAAAAATTTGCTGCGGTAGAGAGGTACTGTTAAATGTTGTCACCACTGAACTTGGAACCTCTTACTTTTTGCTATTGAAAGTTCTTGTTGGAAGTGTTTGTGAGGATAACTTGGCAATTACGGCTTCAGAGTGTTTATCTAGTGTCCTGGATAATTGGATGCTTATGTGATCAAGCACTGAAATGGTTACCAGTGTACCAGAGTTTAGGGCTACAACAGCTCACATTCATCTACTACTGAAGTAAAACTTAACAATTATTGAATTTTACTTCACTAGCAACTCTCTTTTAATTCTGTTGTGGCTGCTTCAGTGGAGCTGGTGATACTTTATAATTGCAGAAGGTTTTCTTGAATTAAGAAAATAAATGTGAAGCACAGAACCTTCTTTATTAACTGGGCATATTATAGTGCAACTACTTGAGAAAGCACTGGTAGAAGTAAGCTCTAGCTGTACAGCCTTATCATAGAAAAAATGTTTGTATTTTATAAATCCAAGCTTCTGAACACCTTAAACTGAGGATTTTTTACTACTTTAAATATCACAGGATTTTGGCTAAGCTCTCTCTATCCTGCTTTAGATACTTCTGTAAAGTGCTGATAATTGAATTGCATCTTGAACTGTTGAATGCCAATAAGTGTTTTCATGATGATCTGTTGTCTTTGGTCTTTATTTGGTTACTTTAGATCTCTAGCATGTCTCAGTATCTGCTTGAACCTGGAATTGCTTTTCGGAGCAAATACTATTTTATGATAGGGATACTATGTATCTTAGGGGTTGAATCCACTTTTTTGGAATTGCATGTAGATATGTTGCAGTATATGGAGGAAAGAAGTTGGGTTCTTTCCCTGGATTAAAGCAGTGACAAGCATTAGTGTAGTTCAAATACTGGTCTTCATTAATGGAAAAAAAGACAACATAAAAGTCCACTTGGTTAAGATCAGCAGACACTTATGTCTGGAACCACAGCTGCTACCTTCATGTAGCCCAGGATCTTGTAGCGCAAATGCTCTTCTTTTTTAATACTCTCCTTGCCCATAATCTTCAAGGTACAGGATTAACAGCCCAGCTTTAGCTCTGCAAAATAGGTTCTGATTCAGAGGTCGATGAAGTCAGTGAAGAAGAAACTGTTTCTGCCCCAGTAGTTTGCCAGGGGCAGCCCAGAAAACCTCTTGTTATCTGCAGTGCGTTGGACACACAGGGCATCAAAACAGCCCTCTGGGGCAGAGGAAAAGCTTGAATAAATGCTTAGATTATTCTGGGGAGGAGTTTGGTGCAGAAAGGTCAAATGGTGGGGTAGAAAGTGGGAAGGTGTACTGCTGCACTGAAAGATTAAAAGAAAAGTTAAAAATTTGGAAGGCAGATGTGGCCTGGTTGCTGTGGTACAAGCTCAGTGTTTGAACTTCTGCAGAGCTACATAGCAGAATCAGCTGATTCTTTTTCCATGCCAAAGAATAGATACCATGCCACCTGTTGTCAACAGAGAGAATACTCTTTCTCCCTCTTTCTTGCTTACAGAATGGAAGGCTGTCAGGACCACTTACTCTTCTTGCTAGTGAAAGAGGAGCTGCTTTCTTTAGTCCTGTTTGATATAAAAACAGGACAATAAACAGTGACAAGTCTGCAGTAGTAGTAATGGAGAATGCCTTTCTGTATTTTAATAGCTACTACTACAGCAGTAATACTAGGTGAATATCCCTGGTGGGACGTCTTATACAGGATAAGGAGGAAGAAGTTTTCATCTAGAGTTTAGCTACAGAGGGTTGATCTCTACAGGATCTTGTTTTAGTAGGGCTGGCTTATGCAAAAGTGGGAGAGGAAAGGTGAGGTTAGTATGTGAGAGCTGCAAAATAAATGTTATTTTGATACAAACTGCTCACATGTAGTTGTCATACTTAGTCTGGAGCTGCAGCTGCTCTTGTGTTTAATTCAGTGTCTGAAGAACTTTTATAAAAGATGGGCTTATTTTTTTGTCCTACAGGTGTATTTCATACTATCACATAGTATAGCAAGTGTTGGCCAGGTCTACTTGGAGGGTGGTGGAGCTGTTGACAAGGGGGAGAGCTCCTTTAGTAGAAGCAAACTGATTGCAAATGCTCCATCCCTGGTCGTGTTCAAGGCCAGGTTGGACACAGTCTTGGGTGGTATGGTTTAGTGTGAGGTGTCCCTGTCCATGACAGGGGTGTTGGAACTGGATGATCTTAAGATCCTTTCCAGCCCTAACTATTCTATGATTCTATTCTATGAAGTGTTTGACAGACATTACATGGAGGGAGGGAAGTCTTTAGAAATCGGAGTTCTTTATTATTTTTGGGTACCTAACCTTGTCAATACTTTGTTTTCAGTGTTTAGTGTTGTATCATGCTTCATACGTTCACATTATATCTTCTCTTGACTCCAGTTTTGGCTATTGCAGTTTATCACTTCTACATCAGAAGGAGAGTCAAATTCAGAGTATGTTTAGAGATACATGAATGGCCATGACTGTTTCCAGTCATCACACAAGAATAAAAATCCAGTTCTTCAGAATACCTCCCAGTACATGCTCTTCCTGAAGATGCTAGTCTTCTGTTCCACTTTCAAACCCAGGTGACAACTGAAGCAAGATCCATACATGAAAGCTATATGTTTGGTGTACATGCAACAGGGATGGTATGAATAATAAGCTGCTAGTTCTTTTCTGTTTGTGTAAGCAGCCAGTGCTCTAGCTCATACACAAACAGTAAAGAGATTATATTCTATGAATATAGTCTCCAGCTCCTTGCCTTTCTTTGTCATGGCAGTAGCTCCAGTGATTATCTGGATCACCTTGTTTGAGTCCTTTGAAATCAGAGGGAAGTTAATGTTTTCTGTAGCTTGTCTGCTTCAGGTTATCAGAGAAACCTTTTCCGTCTGCTGGCTTTCCTTGTGTTCTTCCAGCTGCTGTTGTAAACTCACTAAGACTGGCTGAAAGAGCTCTATTTAGACTAAGCCTCATCAGTCAGAGGACTGACATTTCATGCTCCATATGCATCAGTAATTATCTAGTGATACAGATTTGCCATTCTTAGGAAGGGGTTTGAGTAGCAATTAGTAGTGAACATGAATACTGTGCGGTTGAGGTATTCCTCTGTATTTGGTACTGTGGTGAAAAACTGTGTGGTAGAATGGCGGATGGTCAAGACTATGTGCAAAAAGGTTATTTGTAGTTCAGCCCGAAGATAAGTCATCTACCAAGGACCAACTTGCTCTGTGGCAAGCTGTTTAAGCTGATCATAGTGTTGTGACACCTCTCTCCCTTGTGTTTTGTGTTTGAGGTGTGACTGTTGACTGACCTAACGGACAGGATCCCTTGTGAGTGGTTCAGTTTTGGGCATATTTATGGGAAAAGGTGATTAAAAAAATAATCTGCATTGTGAAAGTCTTGCTCAGTGTCCTCTAGCATCAAGCCTTTTCAAAATAAAAGTGAAGTTTGGTGTAGATTATATTTTTCAGAAATAAAGCTCTTGTTGCTTGTATTATTCCTGCTAGGTAAAGTTAATACTGATGTCGTGTTCCGTTTTCTTTTCCCTCTTTACCTACAGCATGAACAGATTAAACACCTTGCCCAGGGGATTTGGCTCTTTACCAGCTCTGGAGGTTCTTGACTTGACTTACAACAATTTAAATGAAAACTCTCTACCAGGAAACTTCTTCTATCTGAGTGAGAAACTTTTCTAAAAACTCTACAAATCTTCATGATATGATGCTTTGCTTTCTGCAGTTGAAATTTATTTGATGGAGACCAAACTCCAACAGAATTATTGTGATATTTATGTTTTTCTTTGAGTATCTCTTGAATATCTCTACATAGCTCAGCAATACTTATCTCTGATATGCAGTTACCTGACACTATTGGACATAAGAAAACTAGGTTAGTAATGGTAAATTAGTTTTCTTCTGAGTAATATTTCCTTGAGTCCAGAACTCGGTTAAAACTTCGTGGAAGCTTGCATGCCTCAGGGCAAAGTAAACTGTTTTGCAAGGCAACTGTTACGCGTTGACTCTGGAAACAACAGTGTTCCTGATGGTTCATTACTGAAATAGTTTTAGCAGCATGTGGAAGTTGAAGTGTCCAGTATGTTAAAAAATATGCTAAGGTTGCAAAGCTTGTCGCAGGAATGGTAGAGCTAAGCTGACCTTTGCACATGTTAAAAATACTCGGAGTTAAAATAAAGGTATTGCAATACATATGTGCAAAAGGGCTGCATTGTGGTTGCCTAAGCAACTTGAATTCTGGCACTTTCTGGGTTTCAGCTATTCTGCTACCTTACTGGTCTTTTCAGTGTGCTCGGCTGAAGTTGCTTCAGCATTTAGCAGCAAAAGTGACGGGCGAGGAGAGAGGAAGGAGTGCCGCTGCCTGAGCGATTTTGTGATTGTAACCTGTCAGATGGAAATTTTTAGTCAGCGTTATTAAAAATGGTCACATTTAACGAAGGGAAAAGAGGAGGAGGAGTAAACTGCGTAAGGCAAGTGGGACCTCCTCTGGTGGGGAGGAGAGGTTTTGCTGACCTGAGCACCTTCCTTCCCGCTGCGCCCAACAGTTCTTTGTGAGTCTCCATTTTAATTTTTGTTTTCCAAACTGTCATGTATGCTCGTTCTATAATAGCAAGCTACAAGGTTGTGCTGGGTCATCTCTTTTTCTCTGAATTTCGTAGAGACTAAGCATGGAGGTTACAAATTTTACAGCTTGAATCTTCTGTATTGCTCTCGTTTAAGCTCTTCCTAGCATTAGACTGTGCTTTTTATAGAGCTTGACATAGTTGTTTGTCAAAAAAACCTCAGATGACTGTTTTTAAATGTTTGTTTATGATGCCAATTGATTTAATAAATAAGAATCAGAGGCAGTAAAAAGTAATGACTGTATTCTGACAGCTAGGCATCAAGACTGTATGCCAGAACCTGCCAGAGTCTACTATTGTAGAAATTGTTAATTGTGCCATTCCTTTCAAATATAGATATTTTCCTGAACTCGCCAACAATACAATAAGCCAGTAAATCTGAGTTTGACCTGGTTGTTATTATTGTGAGCCCTGAGTATGTTAAAGGCTTTTCACCAAGTCAGGGTTATTAATCAAACCTGACTCTTTTTTATTGATTAGACCTCAAACGGTTGGGTTATATGCCACCCTGTTTATATATTGCTATTTAATTTGCAGCCACCCTGCGTGCACTCTATCTAAGTGACAACGATTTTGAAATCCTGCCGCCAGATATTGGGAAGCTCACAAAGTTGCAGATAGTAAGTAATTTATCTAAATTCTTGGAAAATCGATGCACTTTTGCAACACTTATAGGAATAGAATCCAGTCAGTTTAAGAAGTAGTAGGGTATGTTTGCAGGAATAGACCATTACACCTGGAACTATTTCTTGTTTACCAGTAGACACTTGTAAAAAATTGGAAGAATTGAGTGTCTAGGAGAAAGGGAGAGGCAGAGGGAGTGCAGTTCTGGTTTAGACTGCTTTATGGTAACTGATAATTGTTCTGACTGTTTTATATTCACTCTTAGCTGAGTCTTAGAGACAATGACCTGATATCGCTGCCCAAAGAAATTGGTGAGCTCACTCAGCTTAAGGAACTTCATATCCAGGGAAATCGCCTTACTGTGCTGCCCCCAGAACTAGGTAAGATTATGGATGATCATTTATTTACTTGAATAATAATAATGATAATGATACGGTGTGTTTCCTCTGAAATGAAACCAGTTGTTAAAGTCCAGGAGATGCTTATACTTAAGTTGTCATTGCTGCTAATACGAGGTTTCCCCTGAGGAACACTCACTTTTTTGCTGCTATTGGATATACAGAAGGATCCAGATGATGATGTATGCTTGGTTTTACAGTTTTTTACATGTTACATTTTCCTTGTCTATTAGTACACCTCATTGCCAGTTTGTACATAGCATCTTACTTTATATAACATATAATAAATATTGGGTTTGCAAAGCTATTCTTGTTTCTGGCTGGGTTTTGAGAACACTTTTTGGATTAGTCAAAATTAGATTAAGCAAAAATGACAGCAACATAAGTGGCTTTTTTTTGTGTCTGATCCTGTAAAAATGGAAGCTTGATCAGTAAAATACAGCTAAATGAGAGGAATTTTTCATTTTTCTGTTTCAGTAGCCTGCCTTTCTTAGTGAGGTGACAGCTCTTTCACTTAAAGCAGTGGAACTAGTTGATATATTTTGTGACACTGATCATTTAAATGTGATTACAAATGGCTTCTTTCCAACCTATGGACTTTTTCTTTGAAAGGTATCAATATGCTGAATTTACATTGCAGTATTCCACTTTATGTGAGGGGTGTTAACTTCAATAGAGGTTTTCCCTGTTTGTCCCAAGCCAGAATTTGGTCTTAAATCTCTTATGAAAATCTTTAAAAAATATTTTTATTCAGAATACTGTAGTTACATCAGTTACTTGTTGTTGAAACCCCTGTTACACAGGGTTGATTCCTTATTTCATGTTATTGTAGACTGTTACATAGGGAAGCTTCTTTGTTTCTACTATTACCTTCCAAGTAATAGTTCCCCAAAACTCAGAAAGATAACGACTGAAGTTAGGATCATAAAGCAAAACGATTTATTGTCATAAGAACTCGCTTCGACCCATTAGAGACTGTGTCAGCTGGGTGCATAAATGTGGGAGTCTGGAGTATGTGCTATTTTGTTTGTGTGCGAAGGAAAGTGCTTTTTCTGTGAGGTGGGGGAAGATGTTTGTTTTGATTCTTGTTTGCCCAACATGGGCTTTTTTTTGTCTTTATCAATCTACTGGACTATATGATGCTGAGTATTCTGCCTCACCCCCAGTAGATGATAGTTACTCTTGTTTTCTTAATTCAGATGTTTATTCCCTGACACAAGTATACTTTCCTTAGCTTCTTATCGAAGTTGTATTTATTTATAAAGTCTCTTTCAACAGCAATAATATTCAGAAGCATGTAGTATATGTAAATTTGCTTTTTTGTACCTTCCTAAGTTATGGCTTTGTCTTTTTCTGGATAGTGGAAGTTCAGTGCTGCACTGAGTCGAACCACTCTCTGTGGCTAATTAAATGTTCTAAACATGCTGCTGCCTTAGAAGCATAACAGCAAATTCACTTTAAATGGTTTTACCATCATTGTCCAAAACAAATATAAATGTTTGAAACAAAATTCATGATGTTTATTTTGCACTGACCTTCAAAACTTGGGATGGCCAAGGGAAGCATTTCTTCTTTTAGTTAACATTTGTTTGCATTATAGAACAATATAAAAACCTTATAGAAAAAGGACTTGTAATTTTTTCCTCACCTGATCAGGATGAGCTGTATTGGCACAGCTTAAATACATGTCAGCTTTGTTCTTTATGACTCAAATGCTATTCTTTAAATGATACTTTAATGTATTAATTCACTGGGTTTTCATTTTATAGTCTTCCTCTTTCATTCATGATCAGTTGGCGTTATTTCTGTTGCTCTCTATGCCACGTGTAGTGCTAGAACTATCTCAGACAGTTAAAAACCTAGATTTGGTGGTGTATTTCCAGAAAACATTGCACTGAAGTCTGTAATCTATGCAATTTGCAAGCATATTTACTGTGCAAAGCAATGCTCTTGCTTGTTTATTAAACATCTAGGCAAACACTTAGGGAATGGATTTTAGTGAACAAAGCACAAGGCTGGGCTTTGGAGGGCTTGTTTGAGATCAGGTAGAAGCAGGCCACAGGCAAGCATGAAGCTCCTGAATGATTAGAAAAATGTACTTGCATCTCTGTAGTCTTGTTTCCCCTTCTGCAAACTAAGGCAATTTAGAGAAGCGCGCCTTTGCGGACAGTTTTAAGTCTGCCGGTGTAAAGGCTGTACGTGAATGTTGCACCCTAATACATGGACTGCTAATAGTTGCCATCTGAGAGAAAACCAATTTTATCTGTTGTCTGAGTTCTCCCTCCTAAATTTTTAAAATTGATTTATAATGTAAGAAGAGCTATGCAAATACTTTGTGCTGTGCATGCTGGATAAATAGCTTTTCAATGGGCAGCTCTTATTTGCATTAATTGGAGATACTGCAGTTCCAGTCAAAGTAAACAGTCTTTCCTCTCTCATTATCGCTTTCATAATTAAAGGCAGTGAGGGCTTTTGATTGGCACTGGTGGACAGCAATGAGTCATTAGAAGTTCATTTACCATGGACATGGGCACAATATAAAACACCAGAATAAAACAGTGTATTTGACTGAGGAGAAGGCGTTGGGGGAGAGTACATGAAGCTGGTTTTTAAAGGTAACGGAAATAAGTGCTGAAGAAAATATGGAGAGTCAGGTATGAGAAGAGAACACAGACAGGCTTTGGGATCCTAGTTTTGGAGTGGAGAAAGATGCCAGTAAATGAAACACTTCATCTGCTCTTAATTTCAATCAGTGAGATTTTTTGGGGGCTAATACCAGTAAGAGGGCTGGGGGGAAACCAGTATTCTCCTCCTCTTTGTTTATCAGAGAATACCTGTTGCTAATTTAAGAGAAATATTGCTTAGAAGGAAATGCAGGGACTAGGAGAGTACACTGGTGTTCTGGGTGAGGGTGCTTGTCTGTAAATACAGTACGTGTGAGTGATGAACACAGGAAGTGACCAGGAGTAGGTGGGTGGAATTTGCAGCTTGTTTTTATCATTTGTCTCTCAAAGCCCGTTCATGAGGAATGGTGGTGGGCAGTCATATATAAACTTTAAAGAGGCGCTGGCATTTTTTTCCTAGCATTTAAAAGGTTATGTGCCGCATTGCGAGACAAATAAATCATGATTCACTGCAACAACAGAGTTGCAGTCAGTTATATAAATTGCCAGGGAAGCACTAAATCTGTCACTTTGTGTATTCTGACCGTTTAACAATTGGAATAGTGCTTGGAAGGAAAGCTGAGTAGAAACATGAACCACATAAAATGGCAGATGCAATTAGTAAGATCAGTTACACCATTTTAAGTTCATTGTATGGTCATCTGGATGTACCCATATGTGCCACGTAGAAGTTTTTCTTATCATAGTCAGGAATACTCAGAATATTCACAAAGTTGTAGCTAAATGTAAATAGCCACCCAGAAAATATAACTAGCGGGTTTGCTGTGAAAACAAATGGCGTGATTTTAAAAACCCAGATTCTAATGTTGACTGTGTTCTTTATCCTGCTGCCAACACACACGTGTGCACCCATACAGGGAGTTCACTCATATTTATGCTTATGGGAAGAACAGTAATTTCTAAGGATGCATTTTTAATTACCATCCTCTTTTTCCAAAACCAAATGTTGGCAACAGTAGCTTTTAAGCTAACTCTTCAATCCTCTTCTAGTTTATCAAATAATTTTCTCAGGTAAAGGGAGAAACTGTCAAAACTGTGAAGTTAGGTACTTACTTGAAAAGTGGAAAATTCAAGCTTTTTAAAAAAGGGGAAAAAAACCTTGATGGTGTAATAGTCATGTTCCTCCTCAAGGAGGGTGAAACATTTAATAAATTAAATCTGTATGGCAGAATGGCTAAGTAACTCTTTCATCATTTTTTAGTTTTGAACAGCTAAATTATCTTCTGTGGACAAAAGACGGGCTTTAAATGTGTGGTTCAAGAAATCATGCCAAGGTCTCCTTATTTCCTTCACAAGAAGGCCTTTTAAAGTTTAGGCTTTTGAAATTACTCTAGAATTTGTGAATGAATATTATATTACTTAAAGTAGTTGCTGCAGTTGTTTGTTCAAATTAATATTAATCGAAATCGGAGTTTACTTAGGTAATTATAACAGGCATGAGCAAACATCGGAATCACTTATTTCACAAAAGATATTTCTTTTCTAAATATACTTGACATAAGTGCCAAACTTCTCTTATTTCAGTAAACTGTCACTGCACTCTACCTGTGTCACACCACCATGCTGCTCACCTAGAAATACAGGTCTGCTGTGCTTGTTGTAAGCCTGAGCATCCTGGGGCTCTTGAGACACCAGCTCTGAGCTGGAACAACTAATTGGTACCTTGCAATTTAAAAGAAAAAAAATGCCTGTTTCTACATTTGGAACTAAGGCAAAGGTGGTGTAAGAAAGAGCTTTGTAAAACTTCGCAGTGGATAAACAAAGTAACTTGTTTTCTAGGACTGCTGATGTAGCAGTTATTACTTAAGGAATAATAGAAAAATCTGTGTAACAAGGTAGGTCACAAGCAGATTATTTATAGAAGAAAACTGTCTCTGAACATTTGTGAGTATTCTAACTGTGGTTTTCATTTCAGGCTTATTCTAAGTTAAAAAACAAACACAAAAATACCACAACCAAAACCGAACACTTTTTATGTAGTTGGAGACCAGGCTGCTTCCCAAGTACTTGATGGGAGTTCAGGTGGTATGGGAAGAGATGACAACTCTGCAGTTTCATTATACACAGAAAGATGTTTTCTGTAGCCCATCACTTAGATATACACTACAGGAATTCATTTTCTTACACTGCTGCATTTCTTGCCAAAGATTCTTCCCAAGATTCAGATTTGATCTTAACATTAGTTTTTAAAATATGCAAGTCCTACTGTTGCTTCTCAGATGACTACTCTGTGTGTGTAGGCTCTCCTAATGTTGACTGTACTTACCCTGATTATAAGTACCATCAGCATAATAATGA